ACAAAACTCTCAACATTTTACTGGATTTTTCTGAATTAGAGACCTCTTCACCTCTAGAACAAAATCCCAATCACGTCACGAAGAAGACTGAAGCCCAAGTTCGGACTTAATACTCAAGCCCATTTGCCGTAATAAGAATATATGGGCCATAGTAATATGCTAAATGAGGTAAACAAAGCCTGTTACTGTCTATTATGATGCAATGCAAATAAAAACGACTTTTACTGATAATTGCGTATGGCTGCATTACTCCTAGACATCTTAATTACAAATTTTTTTAATGATTTATGTAGTTTTCTACGAAACCTCATGACAATACTTTGGGTGTAGCAGTCAAGGACGGAACCACATGAGACACAACGAGAATGGAATGGACTCAAATAAAAATGGAATGGAATTAATGTGAGAATGGAATAGTCATTTTCATTCTCACGTTTGAGTGTAATTTATAAAATAAAATAAGAATGAACGTATTTAAAATTGTATATTTTATCGATTCTCATTTAAGTGGGAATGTCCATTTCCTATCATTTCATTGGGAATGCTCATTCTCACATAAAGTGAGAATTGATGAGAAGTGAGAATGAGCATTCCGACTTCAAAAAAAAGAGTGTGTTTGGTAGAAATGAATGAGAAGTGAGAATGTTCATTCCATTCCACATCATTCCCGCGTACCAAACGAGGCCTTAGGTTTTTTATGATATAGTCCCTAAATGATTCGGTTTGTTTTTTGAGATCAAAGAGAGATTTTCAAATGGTTTCTGCGATTAGTTCATTGAGCTTGGTGGGTTAAAACTATTAGTCACTCGCACAGGCCCATAGTGATCAAAGCGGTCTTTTGGACTACCAAATAAGTAAATCGGATGTTATTAGAATTATTAGGGGCTTGGGCAAGGGAGAAGTATTAACCAAGTATCTTGGAAAAAAATAGCTTTAGTTAGTTAAGAAGAGGCTATAATATGTCTTGCAACACGAAAAAGGTTTTGGTTAATTAAGAAGAGATTATTGTATCATATAATTTCTTTTGAGAAATAAAATTGAAAATCAAGACTAGTGAAATGGAGCTTGATATGTAAACCTAAAAAAGAAAAGATTTTCTATGGGGAAAAA